TGCCCCCCCCACCCAGTTTGAAGGATCATCATCTTCGCTGAGTAGTAAGTGATTGTGTCTGGGAGAATTCATGTAGCCAGTTGTCCTGTCTCCATGAGGGGGGGGGCGGGTTCCTGCCCAGGAGTGGGGAGGAACCAGAGCAATGGATCGCGACCCTGTGTCCCCACCACATACATGCCGCTGAGGAGTTGATCACAATGCAGGCTGTGCTGACTGGGCAAATGGGTACCAGATCCCTAAAGTGGGGATGTCCAGATATGTGTTGGGGTGAGGATGGGTCACTGTCCTGACTGTTCCGAGGTCCTGGCTCCTTTGTGGAGCATCACAGATGCCCCTCTAGCCTGGTCCTTCATGGAGGCAAGACATTGAACAGCCTCTGCACTCAGACCCACCCCACCCTTCCCCACCTGCCTTTCCCAGTTTGCCCAACCTGCCTGGCTTACCCTACTGGGGAGGGATGTCCACCATCAGCTCAGAAGGCAGGAAGGCTGGACTCAGGAACAACTCTGCAGAGTAAAGGAAAGGGACCTAGTTCTTCCCGTTGAGTGGGACCCTGGAACCGCAAGATCTAGGGTCCCTACACTCTGGGGAAGTTTCAAGTGAAGTAGGTTCTGCAAGTCTACTCATCTCTCAAGACCAGGTCCCCACCTGGTCTCCTTCCAGATGTCAAGGTGATAGTCACTTGAGGCAGGGAGCATTTGGGCTCACTGCAGGGCAGAGAGAGAAGGACCTCTCTGGGTGTGAGGCTGTCACCTTGGATCATTGCATCTCGGCTATCCCTCACCTCCAAGCTCTCTGGTCATGATCTTGGAGTTCAGTAAGCTGAAGGATCCTGCAGGGCTCTTCCCAGGACCACAGATCAGAAAGTGCTGGGGATGCAGTGAGGGTGAACGTACACAGGGACACTTGGACACATACACTGTCCCTGCCCAGTCACCTGCATCCTGTGGATCTCTGCCCACCCCCACGAGCCCACCTGCCTCGTTCCCATGAACGTGGGCACTGGCTTGTTCAGAGTACAGAATGGCTGGGTCAGAAAGAGTCACAGTGGCACCTCGTGGTGTAAGCATACCGGTAGGTGCCACGTGTGAGCACCTGCCGCAGCCTCCCAGCGCACAGGTGCATAGCCTCACTCAGGTGTGGCTTCTGGCCACCCAGTGGGGTGAAACTCAAATTATTCCCGTAACATGATGTTTAGATGAGGCCTGGTGCCATCTGCCCTGGTCACAAATTCAGCCCTGTCAGGTGATCCTAGAGACCAGTATTGGTTAGGGTCCCATGAGGGTTCTGAGAGGCAGGAACATGACACAGGCACTGATGCCCAGGAGCCCCCAAGTGGGGAGGAAATGTGGTGAGCACTAAGGCGGCGGGTCCCACTGTTGTAACACTGGGCACTTCGTATGCTGCTCCAGAAAGCAGCATCCTGAAAGTCTTGTCATTTTCCAAGTGGGGAAACTGAGGCTTGGGGAGGAGCCTGACTTGCTTAAGCTGGGAGTGTCTTCGCTCCAGGGCTCAGTGACTCTGATGCTGTCTGATTACCTGGCGGGATGCCAGAGGGGGGTGTTGGTGGCCCTTCCCATTGGCTGTCACTCTAGCTGGGCTCAGAGGGAGTACAGCCTCCAATGGCCTTCACTGCCCAGCATCATCTTGGGAGCAGAGCTGCCCTGGGCTTGATCTGAGTCTAATTTGGACCTCTGGACAGCCAGGCAGGGACCTAGCCTCACCCCAACACATCCTGACATCTCCACTTCAGGGATCTGGTCCCCGTTTGCCCACACTGCAACAGCCCACATTGTGATCAACTCCTCAGTAGCACGTATGTGGGTGGGGGCACAGGATCGCAATCCATTGCTGTGGCTTCTCCACATTCCTGGGCAGGTACCTCCTATGGAGACAGGACATCTGGCTACGGGGGAGATGTGGCTAAGGCCTATTCTTTGGTTGGCATCTGGCTGGTACAGAGCCCCACAGAGGAACTTGCTCAACGGCGCAAAGCTGCCATCAACCCACAGCAGCTGCCATCAACCCACAGCAGCCACCAATGTGCCACCAGCGTGAGAGGGGAAGGGGTAGCCATGGTGACTGTCCACTGATGGGTGAGGAGACAAAACCAGACTGACCACAGAGCCAGACCATCCACACAGGGCTGGCTGTCTCCCCAGGATCGACACAGGTCTGAATATCCTATCTGTCCCCTTCATCAGGAGAGACAAAGCCCTTCCTCAGTCAGCACTTCCGAGCTGGAGCAGCCTTCCAGCCCGTGCCAGATTCCTCCAGATCCACCCTGATCAGAGACGTTTCGAATGTTGCATCCCCGGAGGCCTGCACTGGCTCTTCATGCAAAAATAAAATTCCTCACCTTTTTCCTGTGGCCAGCTCTGGAAAGTGGGGCTGCTTGTTACACAGCGTAACCTGCCCACGCTGCCTGAGAGGGAGCTGATCTTCCTCCTGTACCCTACCTCTGGCTCCTTCCTGCTGGGAACTCCTTGATAGGGTACTGCGTAGCAATTTCCTGAGAACCGAAACATTCCATCCCAGAAGGAGCCTTGTCAAGACTCGAGAAGTTCTAAAGAGACACAGGAGCACACTACCCCAAGGCTCAGGAAGTCCCGAAACTCGTCAGATGCACAAGGTCCATCCTCCCCAAGGTTATAAAGGCAGTAGAGCTGCAGAGGAGATAACGTTCAGTAGCTTACAAGGCATGCAGGAAAGTTCAGTTTTCATGAGTTTCACCTGTCCTGGGGTGGATTTTCAGTGATGCAGGTGCCTTTGAACCACCCATGCTCCTGTAAGTAACCCCAATAAATCCACGGGGTCACCACCCTGGACCTTAGTGGTATTGTTACTTGGTCTGTCATCAGTTTCCTATCTGTGGTGCATAGACAATCATTCTTGCCTCCCTAGGAAGAGTGTCATGCAACATATGGTCAACATGTTCTTGGTCTCACTGCCCCATGCTAACTCTGCTCTCACTGTGACTGACACTCTAAGGCAGCTTGCCACAGTACCTCTGTGGAGAAGCCTGAGGGTGATCCAGTTTAGGCTGCCCTTTCTTGCCTTGGGCATAGAGGCCTTACCTGAAGGAGGAAGGGGTTAGTCTGGGGTCTCCTGGAGCTGATGCAGGGTAAACTAGACTCTTAAAAAACAGGCTCATTTCTTTGCCTGCCTCTGTGGCTCTGAAGACCAATGACATTGCTTTAAAATGGAGTACAGGGCACATCAAGTCACAGCCCAACCCAACCCAAGCTACAACTGTTTATAGCCGGTGTATAAGGAGCTGGAAAGTGGCAGGTGTGGCCCACTGGGTTGGCTGTGGGCTGGGACTTTAGGAGTTGAAAAGGTTTCATCTCAAGGACCGCTAATCTTTGGAACACTGAGCAGATTTCTAAGAAAAGGGGACTTTGGGGAAGACCCATGCCTGAATAGGGCTCCCTTCTGTGTCCTGGCACACGTGGGTTTGACTCATAAGAACCTAGGGACAGGCAGATGCACATGGTAGCTCATCTTCCTTTGGGCCACCAAGATGTCCCTGGCCTACTGTGAAACAAAACAAAAGATGCTACACTGAGCAAGAGACCTTGCTTCAGCCTCTGGGTAGGGGGCAGGGGATCACCCCAGGGATGTGGAACACACCGGAACACACCTAGAGTGGGACCTTGGCCACATACCAGGAATGACTTCAGAGACCACTCCCCATAAAAGAAAACCCGGCCCTCGACACCCAGGTGGTGCTGCAAGGCACTGCTGGAGACTGTGCTAGGCTCAGGAACTGTCCCGACCAGTCATACCAACGACTGCCCTCACCCAGGACACCACGGCCAGGGAACAAAAGCCATGCTTATCAAAGGAATTTTTTTCTTTATTTTCATAATTTAGCTGAATAAACACAAAATTGAATACTGTAAAACAAGGGAAAAAATATGCTGCAACATCTTAAATCTCCCGGTTCCTGCCCTCAAAGGTGTCTATGCTTGCATTCAGAAGAAACAGGCACGTGGAGGCTGTGGGGAGGGCTGCAAGTCAGAAGTACAGGACTTCCTGCCCTCCCGACCCTGGGCAGCCCAGGCTGTCAGAGCCAGGTGCCACGGGGGATAGTGGCTTTGCTGGACCACCCACATCTTAGCCTCATCCCTCTGCCCAGCATGCTCATCCCATTGCGTGGTGACCAAACGTCTGTGAGGACGTGTGGACACTGTAATGGATCTCATGGAAATGGGTTTTCTTTCCTATCTTTAGTCTATGGTTTCTGGAACAGCGTCTATATACTAGAGTTTTATATATATATATATATATATTATTTTTTTACTTTTTTCTTTTAGTAGCATAGCATATTTGTGTTAATTGGACCCGCAGGTAGTATACTCTAGCAGACCTCGGGAACATGGAGGGGACTGGCCATACCATCGCCAGGGAATGAAGACTGTATTTGACACTTATCTGCTGACCTCTTAACCACAGTGCAGGGGGCAAGCAAGATAGTGCCTCCACCCTCTTCCCCAGTGCCTCCACCCACCGTGCTGTCTCAGCTTCCTGATGTGGAGGCAAAGGACTTCTGAGAACCGAGGGGCGCGACCTCCTGGGAAGGGTGACTCAGCCTCAAAGTGTCTCAAGATCTATGGATGGCAAAGGGGTTAAGAGAGAGGAAACAAAATCCACCAGAGGAGGCATGGCCAAAATATTGTACACGCAGTGCTTACCAACAACCCGACCAAAAGCGGGACATGAGCCGCCAGCCCCTAACCGCAGTGCAAAGAGACAGGGCTTCCCAGCATGCGGCAGAGCGAGGTCCTCCGCAGGATAGCGTGCCTTGGTTCCTCACACCTCTCCCACGGCTCTGCCCCTTCAAGCCTGCACCGAGGTCCTACATGGCCACCCCAGAGTCTTCAGGATCACAGGGGCCTGGTCCCAACACTCAAGATGGTCAGACCTGCCATCAACTTTGTTAAATAGAATTTTCTACAAATGTACAACATATAAAAACTGTTAAATATATAACTTTAGGCTTTGCAAAATACATTTAATGATCTCTTTCAAACAGGGTTACTTGAGTTTCCTTTAATTTGCTTTCTGGAGCTAAATGGTATATTGGATGAGACAGCAGTCACGGGAGACCCAACATGCTCTTGGCAAACACTGGATTATCCAACTATCAAAAATGGAACTGTGGAAGAGGCATGTCTAACTGGTTAAAACAGAAAGTGATTTTAGTACGATAAAGTTGGTCTAAGCACAGGGACAAAGGGTCTGTGTCCAGGGCCCGTGCTGTCCACTGGGGGCCGTCGCCAGCCACACCCAGGCTGGGTCCCGCAGGTGTGCCACGGTGTCCTCTTGGCCAACGGCATCCTCCTAGGGCACGCCGCTGCAGTGTTTGTGAGGCAGGGGCCTTGGCCGCGAATGCCCTTTCTGTGCTGCCCGGACCACCAGCATGTCTGCCACTGTACCCTCCCCAGCCCCACAGTGGAACCCGGGGGCGTTGGCAGCAGCGGTGAGTCCACGTTAAAATAGATTTGCTCTTTGGTCTATTAAGTAGACTGAAAGTATAAGAAAATAAAAGCCATTCAGACAGTCTGGGGTAAGAGAAGCTGCAGCTTCGACCCCACAGTCCCGGGACCTTGTGTGGCGGCTCAGCTGGCTGGTCTGCAGCCTCTTCGTCCTAGTCCTCTTCCTCCCGTTCCTGGGAGTGTGTGGCCAATGGAGAGCGGGTGTGGCCAGGTTCCACACACCAGGTATTGCTGATGCCCGGTGCCACCCCTGACCTGTGTGTCTGAGTCCCAGCCTCCTGAGTTCAGCCAGACAGACCTATGCTCAGTCCTCCAAGGAACGGGGCTGTCCTTCTGGGAAACAGTGGGTGGATGGTAGCAGAGAACAGGCGGTGTCCACACAGGATGGAGGACTGTGGCTGTGCTATAGACTCTCCAGGGAGCCAAGGCCACTCCCAGGGGCACCGCAGGGGCTGCGATTGTCAGGAGACCTGAAGAGCAGAGATGAGAGAACTGTCAGGCTCACACTGACCTCACCCAGGGCCATATCCCCGACACACACACCTTCCCTTCTGCCCAAGAGTGGGTGGCAGGCCAACCATCTCCAGGAAGTGAGACCAAGACCAAGAGGAGGTACGCCCCTCAGAGAAAGGCCTGGAGGAAGGCCAACACCATCCTCCTAGGGCACACTGCCACAGAGTTTGTGAGGCAGGTGCCACCCCTGCCCTGTGTGTCTGAGTCCCAGCCTCCTGAGTTCAGACAGACAGATGTAAGCTCTGGCCAGAGCTGGTCTGGGTCTACCTGGTTTCCTAAGGGTATCTGCCACAAATCTGTGTACCCAGAGATTTGAAAGCAGCCCTGGAGCCTCTGACTGTTCTGGCATCGTAAAAGGAGGAAAGAGACGATAAGGGAGGAGCTTGGTGCCACTCAGTGGGGAACCTTGTCTCCAGGAAGATTTCACACAGGTCTGACAACTTGTCAGACTACCTTGGGGACGAGGGTAGAGCTGAGCGTTAGCTTTTTCTAAAATGTCGGAGTGTTTCGCCTGCGTGTACACATATGCACCACACGGGTGCAGTAACTGCAAAAGCCAGAAAGAGGGTGTCAGATCTTTGGAACTGAAATTACAGATGGTGTGAGCCACCACATCGGTGTTGGGAACCAAACCTGGACCTACACAAGACCAGCAAGTGCTCTCAATTGCTGAGTCATCTCTCCAGTCTGAGACTGGAGCTGAGAAGATGCAGGACCCATGACAGGCAGGGTAACACCTTGACCAAGACTGCTTAGCTGTGCACGCGTCCTGTCCTCTGTTCATACCTCAATCTGTCAGCACCCAAAGACCTAGGCGTCCCTGGACCTCTTTCTTTGTTCCTCGCTCCACCGTGGCCACACTGAATACATCTCCTTCCCCCACCTCGTCTGTTCAGTTGTGTTAAGGTGGGTGGCCACCCACCTTAACCCTGAAACCTCCATTACCAACTCTAGCACTCTTGTGAGATCTCCTAGGACTTGGACACCTCGGTTATACAACCCACGATCTCTTCAACATGGACAGACCTCATGGTGTGTGTGTGTGTGTGTGTGTGTGTATGCATATATACATTAGAGTGAGCAAGAGGCCCAGTTGTCTAGTGACCTTTGAGGTCACATGTCATGGAGGGTGCTTCAGAGAGAGCACAGGTTTGTGCTGGCAGCCACATGCCACAGGCCCAGCTAGCTGCATGTATAGGCGGCCCTCAGTATCTGACTCCCTTACCCAGACAATATGGGAAGAATTACATCTGAAAGGCCCAGTTAGCTCCTATCAACATCATTAAACACTGCACAGACCCATTCACAGAGCCTTTACACTCTAATGTGTGCTGCAGGTTATCAGAGGCTACCTAACCCAGTGCTGGCCCAGGCCGGGATTTAAGGATGTGCATAGCTTGGCCAACCTGGGTGTTCTAGAACCAATTCCTGGTGGGTATTTAGCTGATTCTATGCTGGAAACCCCCATGATACACATTATTTCTATTCCCAGTCATCATCTGAGGACGTGGCTGAGCTGTCAGGGGCACCAGATCAACCCAAGTTCCTAATGAGGGCTATTCCCCAACAGGAACTCCCAATTCCCTTCTTTAGAACTTGGTGACCCCTAAGGAGCGGGGGGTAACAGCCTTAGGTGGGAGGAGGAGGAATGAACAGGGAGGCAGGTCCTTGTCCACCCTGGGCAGCTGAGCCCCAGGCTTGGCGTGGGCTTCAGGGACGCCCCTCCCCCTTGAGCTGCAAGGCCTGTGGTCCGTTTCTGCACATTTGGAAGGTAATTTGTTAGATATGACAGGATGGTAGGGACTGTCTGAAAACTTAGAAAACCAACAGCTGAAACCATACACATTTGTTGCTTGGTGACATCTGCCTGGCAAACAAGCACAGTGCTGAAACATCAAAACATTCTCTCCTCCTAGATGCATCCTGGGGGCCGCTCCCCAGTCACGTTCTGCAGCAGCTCCTGCACTTTCCGGAACGGAACAAGGAGGAAGGTCTTCACGTTACCATGGGACAAGACATCCCCAAATGGCTGGTTTTCTGCTACTGCTCCTCCTCCGCTCCACTGCAGACCCCTCCCACGTGCCCAGATTCTTGAGTCGTCTCCGTGCTGAGTGGGGCGTGCTCCACACTGCGCCCTCCCTCCCGATTCAAAGCCTCTGCCTGCTATGGCCTGACTGGCTGTGGCCCCTCTCCTCAGATGCACAGGACAACTCTCAGGTGGCTTCTCCCTCCCAGCCTCTGCCCCCAGGCACTGGAGTCACAGAGCACCATTCACCAAGCCGGGCCACCCACTGCACTTATGAGTAGGGCTGGCCAGAACCTGCTGGAGCATGGCTCATGGGCTGGCTTATGCCCACACCGAGGGCTGCATTGTCTGGCTGCTCCACACCGAGCTCTTCTGTACCTGTTTGCTGGAGATGCTCTACACAATGGTTATTCGTGGAGGACTCACAGTTCTGGAACCAGAGTCTGAGATCAGCTGGTCAGGGCTGGTCAGGGCTGGCTCCACCTGCAGCCTTGAGGGGGGGATTGCATGGCCTCTTGAGGCTGGATTCTGTGGCATCCCTTGGCTTGAAGCTGTCTCCCTGATCTCAGCCTCATGCTGACACAACCATGTCATTTCTTCTCAAAGGACCCCTACCATAGGATGTAGTGGATTCGGAGAGCACTTTCCCTGGAGGGCCTTAGCCTCACACGCGCAGACTTGCTGCGGCAGGATCCGTGTAGACGTATCCTTGAGAATCCCTGTCCAGCCCACGGGGGCTCTGTGTGTCCTTCCCTCCTTTCCTCACTCCCTGACCAGCCTGTGGGGTTTGACGTGTACCGAGTCCGCTTCTGATTTCGGCTACTGACCGTGACCCCGACACCACACACTCAGCCTTCCCCTCCCCATGTTCTGCCAACAGCTCCAACAATGGGCCCACCGGGCACTCTGCTGGGCCAGACACCTGTACCACCACCTGCCCTGTTCCCTACTGTGAGGCTCATAATGCATGACGGCCTGACCTGTCCCCTCCATCCTGTCCAATGCCTGTGTGCCACTTGTGTGACCTACAAAATAACGCACTTGTAGGGTTACCGGACAACAGTGAAGCCTGGTTTCCGCACCCACAGTGTGACACTGCAGAGCTGCTTCCCTGGGGTTTAACAATGCGCACCTGCTCAGCAACGCTGGCTTTGTGAAGACATGTTTACTTCCTCCTGTTTGTGTGACCTACAAAATAACGCACTTGTAGGGTTACCGGACAACAGTGAAGCCTGGTTTCCGCACCCACAGTGTGACACTGCAGAGCTGCTTCCCTGGGGTTCAACAATGCGCACCTGCTCAGCAAGGCTGGCTTTGTGAAGACATGTTTACTTCCTCCTGTAAGCAGCCTGGCAGGGAGGAAGCCATCTGAAGAGACACTTGCATTAGAGACTGAAGGATGGGCCCCAGCTGATGAGCACTGCTTATACAAGCACAACACTGACCTCCACTTACACCCTAGCCTCACGTTAGAACCCTGAAGACAGGGTCCGAATCTCTTTTCCTCCATCCCATTGTGGCCGGCACTGAATACATTTTCCTGCTTTTTATCAACTTGGCTGTTTTGATTGGCTTATCAAGGATGGGTGGCTGAATCTGGCTTCCTGGGGCACAGGCTGTGACCCTAAGTCTGGTCACACTACCGCAGAGTAAGCCTAAAGCACTCTCTCTGGTGACCACAGATTATATGGTGTGCATGAGAAAGCACTGGTTTGGGACCATCAGTTTCTTCTTTAACTGGCTGCTTCTTTCACCCTAATCACTGGGATGACAGCTACAAAGGCCTCGGTCCACAGGCTTCCACCACAGGTTTCCACCAGTGGGCCCTGTGTGCTGGTTAGTTTTTGTCAATCTGACACAAACTGGAGTCACATGAGAAGAGGGAATGTCAGCTGAGGGATTCCCTTCATCACACTGGCTGGGCCACGAGGCATTTTCTTACTTGATGATTCATGTAGGAGGGCTCGGCCCACTGTGGGTGGTGCCATCCCTGGGCAGGTGGCCTGGGCTGTATAAGAAAGGCAGCTGAGCGGCCAGGGGAAGTGAGACAGTGAGCAGCGTTCCTCCGTGGTCTCTGCTTCAGCTCCTGCCTCCAGGTTTCTACCCTGACTTCCTTCAGTGGTAGATT